ATTCAACAACTCCTCCGCCATATTTTTTGTTTGTTGTTGGCTGCGATTCATGAGAACATGTCACGTGGTACCCCTTTGAGCCAATCAGAGAAAGTATGAAATTTCCGTTGCACTTCAAATATTCAGGTGCGCAGTCGACATGAGAGCTCGAGGACTTGACTGGTGTGATTTCTAATGGCAAAAAAAAACCTTTTGGCTTTGGTGCATGTGAAATCTTCTCTTCACTCATGTGGCCTGTATTTTTTCCAAGAAACGGACTGGAGAACAATAATAAATTGAAATCATATATGTGAGAAAAAGGTGAGGCTTAGGAAAGCGTAGCTTGAAAGAGAATTAGCTGAATTGTTTTTCACAGGATGATCCTGATCGATCTTTGTTTCTTTGTTTCCTTTCACAGCTTCTTAATAAGCTTAAGTTATGTATTTTGTATTAACATGCATACTGTTTTATACATTTACTACTTATCATGGAATAAGCAAAAGGCAATATTTTGCTATGAGCAGTGAGGCTGTGAGTTTGAGAGGTGAGGCTGTAAAGCTGTGACATTAGGTAGTGAGACCTTGAGGTTGTGAGGCTGTAAGGCTGCGAGGCTGTGATATTGTGAGGTTGTCAGGCTGTAAGGATGTCAGACGTAGTTAATCGATAAACTGATAATAGATAGTAATCGATATCAATCATCTCTAAATATCGATTTCCGATATCAATCAATAGAAATCGATAAAGAACAAAAGTTGTGACTTTGATTAATATCAATTAGAAATCGATAGTGATTTTTTATTGATATTTTTTAAATTGTTATCAATTAGTGTCAATTTCTATCAATTGTTATCGATTTTGTTAATCGATAATAATTGATAAATTAGTTTTTCTGTGACTTTGATTTCTATCGATTTCTGATATCAATCGATATTAATCGGCGGATTAAATCGATTAATATGGATCATATCGATTGATTTCTGGTATTGATTTTTATTGATTAACTATGTCTGGAAGGATGTGAGGATGTGAGGTTGTGAGGCTGTGCAGGGTTGCGAGACTGTAAGTGTGTGAGGCTGTGAAGTTGTGAGGCTGAGTGGTTTTCAGGCTTTGAGACTGACAGGCTGTGAGTTTGCATTGTGAGATTGTGATGTTGTGTGAAGCTGTAAGGTTAGGAGGTTGTGAGGCTGAGAGGTTGTCAGCCTGTGAGACTATGAGACTGTGAGACTATGATATGAGGCTATGATATGATGCTATTAGGCTTTGAATCTTTTGGGGCGGCTGCGTTTTCTCTTATTCCATTTTTTTCCTTCCCCTCATTTAAGAACTCTCAAATAACCCTTGATAACTTAGCATGGTCAGCAATTAGAAGGGATTTGACTTCATAGAGGGAGAGAGGGGTGGAGGTTAAAGGAAAAATGTTTATGAGCAGGGAAAGGACTGGTGTAAAATAACCATCACATAGTTGGTTACCAAGACAACAAGGAGGATCTGGAGCAAGCTTCTACATCACCAAGGGCCATTACAGTAATTTTGTAAGCTTGATGAAAATTGTTGAGACTTTGTAAGGGTGTCAGGCCTGACAAAAAACCCATCTTTCATGTAGAAATGTATTGTAAATCATGTTGTTAAGATAAAGAAACATACTTAATTAAATCTTCATGTGAATTGATTAACATCAAACTAAAAAGTCAAAAGTATGTTTAAAAAGTTAAATAATAAACTAAAAGCAAGTTTTTTAGATGATTTATTTATGTAAAAAGGCCCTTCACATTAGTAATTGATTACGTGATCAACTTTCGGTAAACACAAAAACAGTTCGCTTTTGAAAACTTTTGTTTGCACGAGCTGAAAGAGCATATTAAAATTAGGTACAGTGGAACCCCGCCCTATGGACAGCCGCTTAATACGGACACCCGGATATAATGAACGGTTTCGTTTGTCATGGCGAATATTTTCTTTAAAATTAATCCACTCAACACAGGAAAAAATTGCAGAAAATCATTGATGTAAAATCGAATGGGATTTCATCAATTCCCAAGGAAAAAAAACATAAATGTTAAAGTTGGACACTTACCATTAATGTTTTTCTTTGAAAATTCACATAAATGTTAATTACAAATTCCACTGATGGTTAGTGCCAACTTACCACTGATGGTTTTATGTAATGTATCATTGATGTTAAATTCTTTTCAAACATTGATGGTAATTCAAATTAACAATAATGTTTGTTAGTCTTTTAACATTCAGGTTATTTTAATGTTCTATTATTGGGATATTGCCTCTTCCCATGAAGAAAAACCCATCAATGTTTATTGCCATTTTAATTCCATACATGGTAGGAATCAAATTACTATAAATGGTAATTTATCAACCATTATTGGGAAATAGCTTAACCATAGATGGTAATTCAAATAATAACATCATCTTTTATTGTTTTAACATTCAGGTTATTTTAATAGTGTTATTGAGAAATTGCTACTTCCCATGAAGGAAAACCCATGGTAGGAATCAAATTGCCATAAATGGTAATCTATAAACCATCATTGGGAATTAATAGCTTAACATTAATGCTAATTCAAATAACAATGTTTTTTACTGTTTTATGTTCAGATTATTTTAATGTACTAGCTGTCATTGGGAAATTGTCATTTCCCATGATGAAGGAAAACCCATCAATGTTTATTTATATTGTTGTTAACATGAATGATTGGAATAAAATTATTATTTTGAAAGGTAATGTAAAAACCGTTATTGAGAATTAGCAATCTCCATTCTCACGTGTGATATTTTAGTTCCCATCAAAAGAAATTTGAAAACATCCAAGTGGATTTGTGGTTAGTTAATTAAGTTCTTAATAATCCACTGCACTGAATTTTTTTTTGATATAGTTATCATGGAAATCGCCAATTCCGCAAAGCTAAGGTTACAATTCTAACAGTTCACCATTAAAACCAACCATAATCATCCAAGGCTATAAACTTTCAACTTTTAATGATACATTAACAAAGGATACATTTTTACAATAATCAGTTCTGCTACTGTGGTACAAGTAACAAAAGTCGTGACAATATCATCTTTATGTTAAGAAAATTAACCAAAAGCCCCAAAACATCTTTGGGCATTTGTAGCTTATAATATTTTATAATAATAAAGCTGCGAGACAATAGAAGAAGGTGCAATAAAATGTTGTGTTTCCGAGTTTCTTCCATTGTTTGTGATGAGCACATAACAAAAGGTTGTTAATGTTCAGTTCAATCAACTTAACATTCACAATATATTTTGTGATGTGCACATCACAAACAATGGAAGAAACTCAGACACAACATTTTATTGCACCTTAATTGTTTCATTGCCCTGCACACTTATTATAAAATTATTATTACAAGCTACAAATGCCCAGGTTGCACAAAATGGAAAACAACAAACTTTTTTAATTTTGTAATGGGGTAAGATGGAATTAAACCACACTTGAATGCAATTAAAATGGCTTCAGCTTTTGTATGTCACGCCTTGAAGCATTTTTTGGGTTCCCTCTGATTCTGACATAATTCTTTTTTACAAGGGCTTCTGCAACCACTTTTACCAAACCATTCTTCTCTTTTGGTGCATTTTTTATGCCCATTGCTTTGGCTGATGAAGCTAACTGATTTCTTTGTACATCTGCCAGTCGGATTGCATTATATGCAACGCATATAATAAGTTTAGCTGTGTCATCTGGGAAAGCTGGGAAATAAATAGAAAATTCAGTTGCGGCCTCTTCTCAATCCCCTGACAATACTTGCATGCGCAAAAGACAAAAGGTTTCAAACTTCTAAAAATAATATCATATAAACCTTCTTCAGCATCAGGTTCTGATTCCATGACTTCATCTGTATTGCCTGATTCAGAGGCACAGCTCTTTTCAACACTACTGCTGTCTACAATTACAGTTTGTGAATCTTTAACTTGTAAACAATGACCTGTGGAGGCAAACAGAAACTTTGTTAGTACTCTGTTAAGAGGTATTGGAAAGCCCAGGAACTAAACTGCAGACAGCACCTGTTAAAAGAAATGTTTTTAATTTCTGGGAATTGTGACTGACAATAACAAGAATTTTAAAGAATGAAAAACATTGATGAGAATGCCTAAAAGTCAACCATGATCCCCTGGTTTGAAAAATGTTAAACCAAAGAAAAATTTGCACCACAACAGATACATTGCAGATTTATCAAATAAAATATGCTCAAACATACCCGTCTTTTCCTCCTCTGATTCTTCCACAATTTCCGTATCCCCAGATTCATCCTCAATGGAATCAGAGAGACTATCACTAGAAGGACTTGCAGAACTGTTGTTTTCAGCAGTACTAGTGCGTTCAGAACTCGGTGTTTTACGCTTCAGCGTTCGCTTATCGGCCTGCAATTTTAAAAAAGTGGTCATTGTAGTGACTGCCTTAATTTGCTAACTTCTACAGCACGGTTGTCACTACTGGATTTCATACTGTCGGGGGCTATATATCACAAGACAGTTAAGAAGTCTACCCAGATGTGCACACAATCAAACTGGGAAAGTAACACTGACTTTCTTTGGACTCTGGTATTTACAAATATTTTCCTATTTCCCTGTATCAAATGTTGACCTCAACGGGTTAAAACTTTAGCCCAAAGAAATGTTAAGATTGTCTTATTTGGCACAAGCCTCTAATGACACCAAACAAATTATTTGTCTACAATTAGCACCCTGTTTTACTCTTAGTGAGCCAGTGCTATTGTGCATTAGGTGTTAGCTAGTACGTGCTTAAAAGAGAAATCAAGTCATTTTAATTATTGTAATATAAGTTATTGTCAAATATTTTTTAGCTTAGTTGTCTCCCCGCTTAGCATCCTGATTCACAGGAAGCTAGATTTTCTTTGACACATCACTATAAAGTTTCTATTCTATTCTCCTTCCTTAACTGTTTGGGGGTCTTGATGAAATGTGATAGATAAATGGTTGAGCTTACTTTAGAGTAATCATGGCCATTCCTTTGGTGTCTTCGTCTTTCATTCAATACATCCAAAATGTGTTGTTTGATACCATCTCCCAAAGTTCAAAGGCGGAAAAGAGCATTCAGCCACAAGCTCTTCCACTAACTGATTTAACTCTGCTACAGCTGTCTTGTTGGTTTTGAATTTGGGGATGTTGTTCCCCGGCCATCGTTTGATTGCTGCCGCTCTGATCGCTTTTCTCCTATTAAGGGAAAGATTCAACAGTTGTTGAAACTTTCAATAAATTGACAAAAATCCAAATTGTTTAAGAAAGAAGTATCGTTTCAGCTATCGTTTCCGAAATGATCGACCCGCAAAACTTGGGGCTTACAAATAAAAAGCAGAAATGAAATAATGCAGGAAGTATATTTGTAAAAAAAATTTACACCGTGTTTACAACCTAGAATAATAACGTTCTCAAATTCAAGCCAGTGTTCATGTGTTGATGATGAAAAGCTAAACAACGCAAAATTTGAAATACAAACTCTGGAGTCGTGTTCAAGAAATTTAAGTTACATGCATGGAAAGCTTAATTGCCAGCTTATATCACTCACTTCGTCTTGTAAATTCTTCTATTAATATCGCTGATTTGATTCAGCTGGGCCTTCGAAGGCTTTTTTGCTTTAACTGCCGTGATCACGCAACTCGACGCTTCATCTATATCGGCGCTTGCGTTGACCAGCATCGTTAGTTTAAGTTGGTCAGCTACTGTCATCAGTCCGCAGGCTTCGTACTGTTCTCTTGTTGCTTTCTTTGATAGCAATAATAAGGATTTGCCGTCAATTTTTGCGCTGTTTGCAGAAAAAAAACAACAAGAAGAGGAAATTATTGTACATAGTACAGGTAAACTTAAACTTTTTCAATAATAAAAACACACCAACTATGAACCGAACGGGAAGGAACGAATCGAATGTTGATCGATCTAAGATCGCGGCCGCCATCTTTGAATTGGCATATGAACGATTTCTAGCCCTTCTAACAGACTGTAGAAAAGTTGCAAAGATAACTAAAGTAAGGTTAAATTAAATCTTAATAACTTAACAGCACTTAATATCTCATTTTTATTCAAAAATGAAGTTTCTTTCTTTCGCGCCAAAACTTTCAGTGAATGACCAGTTTTCCCCCACGGCAGAGCGATAAAAACTCGATCACGTTTAATATGAGTTAATTGAAAGTGCACAATAATGAACCCAAAGCTGAATTGAAAAGTTTCAGGCCTTTTTTCAAATACTGGTAGGTTATCTGAAAGAAAAAGCGGACCATCATACGCAGCGTAAAATGGCTGTGTATAAAAGTGGGACGGGGACAAGGGGACGGGGACATCGGGACGCGTGTGTGGGGACTTGGGACTTGGGGACGCGAGACGAGGGACTTGGGGACGTCAAGTATGGGACGCGGGGACGTCAAAAACTAGGACGCAGGGAACCCGGGATGTTAATGATTATTGCAAAAGTCGGAGGTAAATGCGATATCTCTTTCTTCGTGAAAATGTGTTATTTATGGTCAACATTAGATTCCATCTTCCAAAACCACATTGGACACCTTATGATGTTTACACAAAATATTTCTTTATAATAGAAGTATTAAAAGCCCACTGACTATCGTGATCAGGTTTAGGGTTGATTTCCACTGTCGCGTAATTTTTCCATGCCTACGTGCGTAAAATTTACGTTCGCACATAAAATAGAGGCAATGTCTGAAAGGCCGCACGTAAGCGTAAAAGTAGAATCTCGCTCAACTTCACGTTTAATCTCGACAATTTATATCTTGCCTATCTTATTTACGTGATTAAAATTTACTTGCGTTAACGTGCATAGCCAAAAACGCGTCGGTGGAAATCAACCTTTAAGTACTGTTAGCAAGCATTTACTGTTAGGTTTGCCACTAAAAATGTAGAACAAAATAAATATAGCTGCAATAGTTGAATCCCTCGTGGTTTAGTGGTACAGGCGATGGATTTCGGAGTTAGAACTTCGGGATTCGAAGCTCGCTAATGCCACTTAATTTTTATTTATTTGGAATCGAATGCTGTTATTCTACATAATTTTTGGCGACCGCAACCCACCCTACCCTACTGGCTCCAATATTCCATCAGCAAGAAGACTAGGACAACGGTTTCACTTTCTTCAATGCAGGGGGTCTTCGCCGAGTCTTCTCTTCGTAAACAGGCATGGAGGAACCCTAAGGAGGGCAGGGTGGGTTTCCTTTCAACAAAACATATTCACGAGGAAAGTGACTGATATCGCATTTACCTGCGACTTTTGCAATAATCATTCACATCCCGCCTCCCCTGCGTCCCTGTATTTGACGTCCCCGCGTCCCCGTCCCACACGTCCCCGCGTCCCATAGTTGATGTCCTCAAGTCCCTCGTCTCGCGTCCCCACGTCCCAAGTCCCCACACACGCGTCCCGATGACCCCGTCCCCTTGTCCCCGTCCCACTTTTATACACAGCCGCGTAAAATGGCGCGAAAAAACACAATGCGACACAAGCTTACCTTCGAACTTCTCGGCAATTTCTAATTGGAATTCTTTCGCAATAAAATCCTTCACTTCTTGGATATTCATTTCTTGTACGGAACTAGACGTTTCATTTTCACCCATGGTTGTCAATAAACAACAAAACGAAGAATAAAGAAGACCAATTCAAAACCGTCACGTCCTCACTTGCACAATTCATGGGCGGAATGAACAACGCTGGGATCAAACACGGGATCTTCATCGTCATTCCGCAACGTGATTGGTTGATGAAAAAAAAGCTGGGGTGTGATTGGTGCAGGTTATCTTCGCGCGGGAAATTCGGCGTTTTGGATTGACGTTTCCTTTGGAGGGCTTTTTGAAATTATGGTGAAGGATCGGCATCGGCAGGATATCTTCGCGCGGGAAATTCGGCGTTACTGATCTTTGTTTTTTACCCGTCGTGAGCCAGCTGCCCGATATTATGGAAACTAAAAGACGAAGATTTGAACCTTATGTTTGGTCAAGAGATGATATTGTCTGCTGTAACTGTTCACAGTTAAAATCTAGACACGTACATTGCCCTTGTCAGGGGCACCCAACGAGGATATAGTTCAAAACCACTTAACATAGCATTGTTGAACGTATTTTAGTATTCAAACGGTAGATATAGGCATAATTTTATCCCCTAAAAACTTTTCATCTGTTCGGATTTCCTAGCTGAAAGTCTAGTGATCCGAAAATTATAGGGATAAAAACTTACCTTCTCGAAACTTTCAGCCAAGAAAAGGCTCCCGAAAATTCTAGGTGGCCTTTTTTAGGCTCAAAATCCGTTAAAAATGGGTAATTATACCATTTTGTAGGTGTTCGAAAATCCTAGGAGAAGCAGGCAAGCAAGAAATTTTACAACAAATGCTCCGAAAATTCTAGATCTCAAATCGTCTTCCGAACAGATATTTTCCCGAACATTGCCGTTGGGTGCCCCTGCCTTGTTCCAGCTGCAATGGTGCTGCAGTTGCACGTTCCCTGGAATATTCTCATTGGCAACAACAACAAGCCATTACTGATCTTGGGCTACCCAGGTAATCACAAAAATATAGGCTCATCATTTTAACATGTGGTTTAAATTAATTTAAATTTAAATTTGTGGTTCAATTTTATCCTTGGTTTAAATTTTATTTTCTTTTGTTTCAAACTCATTATCATACATTACCATACCGAAAAACAAAGGAAAATAAAATTTAAACCAAGGACAAAATTGAACCACAACATATACATGACTGCTTTTGATATACAAATAAATGGGCAATATCCACAATCATTTGAATTCTCTTGAGGCTGCACCTGATCACAAGTATTCCTTTGTTTCAAACAGAAATGAAGAACCCAGTGATTCACACAACGACTCAGGCATTGATGAATTTTCATCCCCTTTGTCTCCCGGGGACAACGTCACCATTACTGTGCACGTGGATGATGTCTATGACTGCAATTCTAGTGCCCTACCTGGCAACCAGACTGGTGCATATGCTTCAAGTACCTTAAGTTTAGCAGAAATGACAGAATCCACCACCCCAGAGAACACCTCAGATGATTTGGAAATTGACCCTGATGACATACAAATAACAATTGCTATACTAAAAGCATTGAATTTAGTGGATCAAATGAATGGGTCAATATCAGATTTTGAAGACGTCCTGCAATTTGCCAAAGAGTTGTACTGTAGAAAGGACAGTCACTTAGAAGAAAAATGGCTAGGGAATTGGCAAGACACACAAACAGTTCTCCAAAATTGTGGATACAAATCTCCCAGAGAACTTTACATCTGTTTGGATGAGAGCCATTACACACAATGGGATGTCATGGAAAATGGTGAAGACAAATGCAGACACTGCGGAAAGAAAGGCACGATAAAATTCTACTACCTAGGAATTTCTGACAAAGTTCAACTTTGGTGTAGTAATCGTGGTGTGTGTGAGAAAATGATGGCCCACTGGGGTGAGAAAGAACACTGGTTAGTAGGGGAAGGTCCTAACTTTATATTGAAAGAAATCTGGGATGGTGAAAGATTTAATGAGCTTAAGTGGTTCTGGGATCCAGATTCTCGCTGGATGCTACCTGTTAAGTGTCAGTACTGTGCTAATGTGACAAGTAGTGATGAGATCGAGGAATTTCCAGAAGAAGAAGGGAAGCATGTCATTACATGTCATGAATGTGGATCAAGGTGGAAGCACACACCATGCTATTCTAGAGGGGATCCCCGCAATATTGCACTTATTGGCCACTGGGATGGTTGGCAGCCCTTTGGATACCCTGGAGCACATAGTTGTGGTAAGCAAACACCTTCTTTCTCACTTCTAAGAAATAAATGTAATGTATCCAATAACACAAATGTGCTTAAGACTGCAGTTAACTGACAGGAGTTAAGTCTTGCTGTTGAACACCTTATTTAAACTGTTATCTTCTTATCAATGATTAGCATCTTCTTAATTATAGGGGCAATAGAAGTGACAATAGCTAACATGGCTAAGGCTGAAAGAAGCAAAACTGATCAAGTTTATGTGGTGGGATTTGTCCCTTCTTATCAGCTACCTAAGAGTCGTCCATGTTCCTTGGATCCATTCCTGCATCCCCTTGTCAGTGACATTGAAAACATCTTCATTAATGGTATGAAACCATAAGAACTATTCGGCCCATGGGTACAGATCAGTAAAACTTATTGTGTATTCAACAGAAAATTATTAATTTAATATTCATTTATTTAGAACATTGTCATGTCAGACACATACTGAATCATGTACTGTTAAAAATTTAAGGTTGATGATGAGTTCCCAGATTTAAATGTCTATGAATATAAACTAAGTAAAGCAGGCAAAATTATGCCTTACATATGTGTAATTTTTCACTTGGCCGTTGTTTGAAATTTTGTTGGGTAATGTTTAGCTAGTGTAAATAACAAATACTTTCCTCCTTTTTTCTACATGTACATACAAATAATTGAATCACATTGATTGTTTTTGCAGGTCTTGAAGTCGACTATGCTGCATCATTTCCTTGCCTTCCTGCAGGCAGGATCACCATTAGAGTATTGATTTTATTATGGACAGGTGATTACCCTGCACAACATGAGGTTGGAAAGTTCATCAAACATGGGATATTGCCATGTCGTAGAGATAAACTGAAAGGTAAATTTGACATAATTGCATATAATGAAGAATAATAACAGAATAATACATACATAATAATGAAGAATAAAAATT